GTCTCCCTGAAAGGAAATGGAGCTGGATTAGTCCAAAAGAGTTCCCACATTTGAACGCATGGTGTAGTTATGTGATGCATGAAGTGTCTAAGAAGAGAATTACCTGGGCTGAATTCATACATGAGGTGAACAAGTATGCACCTCATCCAGAGTTAGTCCAAGTGTTTAACCCATGTGTAGAAGAAATAACTCGATTTAAGGATGTTTGTTATGATATCTATTTGAGGGAACAGGGAGAAAGGAAATACAAAAGGAATAACTTTAACAAGCCAAGATAGAACAAACCACGTCTGAAGATTAAAATAGCCTTTATTGCAACTCAAAGTCGCATAGAAAGTTCTTATCAAAAACAAAACCAAAACTTCAAAAGATGATAAGAATTAAAAACAACAACACAATCCAATCTATCGATATACTAACACAATCAGTGACATACCTCGATACGGCATAGTCGGGTTAGTATTGAGTGTAGAAGATGATATGACGTCATACTCAAATTTTAATAATCCGACTACTATTAGGATAGTTTGGGTTAGGATTTGATTATGATTCGAATTCTCTACTAATCCAATCTTAACCTAATACTAATGTATTTGGACAGTAAATAAACGATTTAGTGAGAAGAAGAGGTAGTGGTTGTATAACAGCACTACAATAGATAACTTAAACTTAACAAACCAAAACAAACCCCAATCTTATCTTATCTTAACAAACCAAAACCCTATCTTAACTTAACTTATCTTAACTGAATAAAACAAAAACATAACATAACATAACATAACTGAATACTATATTGATTAGGGTGTTATGATCTTACGGTAATCGACCATACCATCAGGAGAGGGATTAAGGAGTTCTAAACACGTATCAATCTCCTCGGACGTGAGTGGAGTTTCACCAGAAGAAAGAATGTTCTTGATCGTACTAATGGTAAGTTTACCTGTATTGCTCTTGTCAAAAGATTGGAAGGCGGAAAGGACTTCATTAGAAGAAAGACGAGGAAGACATTGAACACGAATCATTTCTTCAAGATCAGCTAGAGCTACTGAAGTTATGGCTTGTGGGAAGAAGTTCTTCAGTGTTTCTGGGTCAACAATATAGCCTAGAGTTCTTAGTAGGGTAGGTAGGCGGTCAATTTGAACTAATTCTTGATTATCTTCATTGGCAAAGATAGTAAAGGTCTCTTGAAGCTGGTTAGTATCCATGAGATAGCAAAAATATAAAACTTATGTACTACTGGGGTGATTGGGATTGGGAATTAATCTTAGATTTAGTTGGGATTAATATTGGAATAGTAAGACGATTAGTAAAAGGATTATTAAAAGGCCATAACAAAAAGCGAGTAAGATTATCTCCTAGTGTGCGACAAGTGATTTGTGAGTGTTATTTAGTAAAGATACCGGGTGTAACCAGTTGGAGTCGACTGGTGAAAGAAGAGTCGGGTGAGTACTTAATAAGTGGATGCCGGGAATGTCAGCACGTAAGTAAAATTAGAGTGCTTTGTAAGCGCAATAAGTTAGATTGAGTTGAGTTGGTGTGGGGTTAGGTTGAGTTAGGTTGGTGTTGGTATTAAGTTGAAAGAAGATAAGATAAATGATGTATTTTATTGTTTGGGTTTAGTTTGGATTTGGATTTGGATTATTGTTTTGAATTTGGTAGTATGGGGTTAGATTAAGTTGGAGTGGGGTTGGGTTAGATTGGATTGAAGTGGGACTTGGGTTAGATTGGGTTAGGAGTGGTACCTGGGGCATGGGGTGAGTAGTGCTGGGCGGAGTATAGTGCTATCAGTGCAAAGATTTTAGCTAGTAGTATGTGTAGTCTAGATGACGTCATAAATAATGAAGTAGAAGAAGGGGTTAAGGATGTAGTTGATGCTAATCCGAAGGCTAGTAAGAATGAAGTAATTGATGCTAACCCAATTAGTTCTAGTAATAATGATGAACTTGTTACTGATCCAAACTCAATACCAACCAAGCCAGTTAGATTGACTAAACGGGAAAAGAGAGAGAAGAAGTACTTGGCACTTAAACAGAAACGCAAAGACCAAAGACTAGCCGGAAAGAAAAGAAGTAAGAGAAAACATCCACCTACTGATCAACTAGAAGCCAACTGTCAAATAGGCATTGAAGTTTTAGGCGGACATGAACTAATGTCAGCTAGAGAAATGAGAAGTTTAGCCCAACAGATCAGGTACTGTTATGCCGCCAATCGAGTCAGTCCTACTCCAGTCAATTTAGTTATCAGTAACTTCCAACTCATTAAAGACTTCATTCCCACCGAGGCAGTTAATTGGAAGAACGTTCAAATGATAGATGAATCAATTACAACCACCACAAATATTCCCAACAGCACCACATCACAAGTAATTGTTCTTTCAGCCGATGCCACCGAAACTCTCACAGATCTAGATCCAAATACTCTCTATATCATTGGCGGTTTAGTCGATCGCAACCGCCATAAAGGCTACGCCGAAAAAGTCCTAGGGGCTAACTTCCCAACTCGCAAACTACCAATTTCCCTTTCCCTCAACTCTTCAACCGTTCTTACCACCCTCCATGTCTTCCAAATCCTTCTTTCCCATCATGAAGGTCTTACTTGGCCCGAAGCCATCAACCGCCACATTCCCGAAAGAAAGCGTCAAGAAGATCCCAACACCAACTCCAATTCCAACACCAACACCAACTCCAATTCATCCCAATAAACAGACCAGTTACGTAACTATTATATCTAAATCAAAATTTATCCAACCCAATCACACCCTAACTTAAATCTTATCTACATTTATTCAAATTCAGTTAAGTTACATTAAGTTAAGTTATGTTAAGTTATGTTAAGTTAAGTTATGATTTGGTATCTAATTGGCATCTAAACCAAAACACAACCTAATCTTATCTAAATCAAAACACAACTTAATCTTATCCAAATCTAATCTTATCTAAATCAAAACAAACCCTAACACAATCAAAACCCAACCTAATCTTATCTAAATCAAAACTCAACCTAATCTTATCTAAATCTAATCTAATCAAAACTTAAATCAACTACTTATTTATTCATCCTGTAACTGGATGCTCTCCGCCTGTAAGCCCTTGAATGATGGAACAATAACATGCTTAAGGAATAATTCAGTCTTAGTGTTGTCCTTAAGACTTGGCCTTCTTGATACTTCAATTCTCAATCTAGTCGGTAAGTGCTTTCTTCCTCTTGACCAGATAGCCTTATTTAAGTCCATATCTAATTTTACTTCCTGTTTAGTTCCAAATTGTCTTTGAATTTCTTTACGGAGTTTCATAACGGCATAATCAGCCCAGTAAGTATGAGAGCAGTTTTTAACTAATCTCCATAAGTTAACGGTAATTAGCGTAACTTTGTTCTCAGTTGTAATATTCGCCATTTGCAGGGATACTAAAAAAATACTAAATAAATCGGAATTGCTATTCAGATAGTATTAAGTTTAGATTGAGTTGAGTTGAGTTAGTATTGGGGTGGTATTGAGTTGAGTTTAGATTGAGTTTAGATTAGATTGAGTTGTGTTTAGATTAGATTAGATTGAGTTGGTATTTAGTATGTAAGATTATTGTTAGTGAACATGGGGTTGTGTATGATATCAGTTGAGATTAAGTTAGTATTGAGTTGAGATTGACTTACTATTGACTTATCTAACCCAATCCAATACCAATCCAATACCAACCTAATGAGAGTCTCATTAAGATAGGTGGGGAATGGTTTAGAGACTAGAGAGAGTATTATTTGGATTAGAGATGGGTAGAACAATTCCAAACTATAAATACAGAGTAGAATCAGTTTAAGAAGATGATGATATCTTGAGGTTGTTATACACCACATACTCAGTACTGATACTTTATTTCACAACTAACTCAATATTATCAATAAAGTACACCTAACTTAAGTATATATCTTAGTAGAAGTACTTCTAGTTGAAATGACTATACTGCCACCCTAGAACACAATATAGTACTAAGTCTTTAGTGATATACTAATTCTATACTAATTCTACACTAATTCTATTCTATCAACAGATACTAACTCAACTCAACACAACTCAATTCTATCTTAATTTTCCCCCTAAAAAGAGTAAAATTATGACGTCATCTTTTGAAATTTTCATAACTAAATTCATAACTAATTTTATAACTAATTTGCCTGGTTTGTTTTGAAATTTGATCTATCTTATTATCTTACTATCTTCTTATCTTACTTATATACGTTATTTAAACCATAAAAACCAACTACGAACTGCTATTTATTGCTTACAGCTTACCCATTCTTCTCAGCACCTAACTCATGGTAGTCGGCTTCCAAAGTAGCTAAGTCCTCCCGGGCTTCACTGAACTCACCCTCCTCCATACCTTCACCTACGTACCAGTGCACAAAGGCCCGCTTGCCAAACATAAGGTCAAACTTAGCATTAAGTCTCTGCCAGGCATCAGCAATAGCCGTGTTGTTACCCAACGAACAAACTGCCCGTTTAACCTTAGCCATATGCCCACCCGGTAAAGTAGTGGGCTGCTCGTTGTTAATACCGATTTTGAACCCAGTCGGACACCAAGCTACAAACCGGTCCAATCCCTTCCTCCTGATCCCATTAATAGCATGATTAACATCGGTAGTATTGACATCACCACGGAAGAGTAAACAACAAGCAATATACTTCCCTCGTCGCGTATCGCACTTAACCATTTGCGTTTGTGATTCAAAACAAGCCATTGTTATCTCACTAACCGATAATTGTTCATGAGCCGCATTAACAGCTGAAATCATCGGTGAGTAAGCAACTAAGGGAAAATGAATACGCGGGTAAGGCACTAAGTTAGTTTGAAACTCAGCTAAGTCAACATTCAAAGAACCCGGGAAACGTAATGAAGCCGTAATAGAACTAACCACCTGGGCAATAATTCGGTTCAAATCAACATAGCCCGGCTGATCAATACCTAATCCCTTGCACATATCATAAATCGCTTCATTATCAACTAAAAAGGAACAATCAGCATGTTCCAAAGTCATATGCGTAGTTAGAACTGAATTATAAGGCTCAACAACTGAATTAGATACTTGTGGGGCCGGATAAACGGCAAACTCCAACTTACTTTTCTTCTCATACTCCTGAGATAAGCGCTCCATAATTAAAGTACCTAAACCAGATCCAGTTCCTCCACCAAATGAGTGGAAGATAAAGAATCCTTGTAAACTGTTGCAATTATCAACTAATCTTCTTATCTGCTCCATAGTTGGTTCAATGATTGATTTACCAACTGTATAATGACCTCTGGCATAGTTATTGGCCGCATCTTCCTTACCTGAGATAAGTTGCGATGGATGATAAAGACTTTTGTATTCGCTGCTTTTGATTGCATCAATGACACCTGGTTCTAGATCGACCATGACAGCTCTGGGTACCATATTACCAGTACTTGTTTCTGAAAAGAAGGATGAAGCTGACTCAATTGGCTTGCCTGAGTCCCGATCTATTTCTCCATTAGGCTTAATACCATGTTCCAGGCAGTAAAGCTCCCAACAAGCATTTCCCATTTGAATTCCTCCCTGTCCAACGTGGATTGAAAGTATCTCTCTCATGTTCCTAGGGCAGGGGTGTAAAAATCTGAAAAATAAAAGGGCTATTTCGGCCTAGATTGGGCTAAAAGAGGGTTTAGATAAGATCTTAGGGGGTTTAAATGAGCTAGGTGGAGTGTCTGGATGGGGTAGTAGTTGGTGGCAAGTTTTGAGATAGTATAAGTGGTGTTTTAGGGTGGAATAAGCTGAGTTTGGGATGGTTTGAATGAGTTGGGAATAGTTTGGATTGGAAATTGAGTTGGAAATTGAGGTGGAAATTGAGGTGGAATTGAGGGGGAAATTAAGTTAGTTTATGGGTTGGTAATTTAAAGATAATTTAGTATAAGATATGTATTAGTGTTGAGGTGGCTTGGTATTGAGGTGGTATTGGGTTGAGTTAAGTATTGAGGTGGGTTGACGTAGGTTGGCGTAGGTTGAGATGTGTGGGTTGGGGTGGTATTAAAATGAATATTAGTTTAGTATAGTATTGGTTTGGTTTAGTATAGTTTAGATTGTATTGGTTTAGTATAGTATAATGTGGATTGTATTTAGTTGCATCTATGTTGGTGTATTTATTTGAATCTATGCTGGTGTACTTATTTGAATCTATGCTGGTGTAATTAGTGTGAATTGAGGTGGTATTAGTGGATGTAGAGGGTGGTGATAAAGAAGAGTCCGGGGAATGGGTTGGTTGGGAATATTTTGTGGTTGGGTGGGGCTATTGTTGTAGTAAGAGTGGATTAGATTGGGGTGGGTATATTGGTTGTGTATATTAGTTGGAAGGTGGTGGTGGTGAATGATACAGTTGCGGTCGAGGGCACAGTTGCCTAAGATTATTTGGATTTACTTGGGAGTGACAGGAGTGATCAATGTGATTTATGTGACTTTGGTGCTGATTGTGTCTCGAGTACATTTAGTAGAATCTCACGTACAAACGGAGGATTTTCAAATGGTTATGTCGAAAGAATGTGCTACGATTATCTTTCATGCGTTTATTGATGTACAGAACATCTTTTACTTGTTCTTGAATGGAGTGATTTCTTTCTTCTATCTGTACTTGGTGCAGATATTCTGTAAGGCTTTGCGGTTCTTGGTTTTGGAGATTTATATCTTTAAACAGGGACCTTACTCCTTGATAGTTTGGGGGTATATGATTCTGGCGTTCGTTAAGGTGGTTAATGGACTGTTTTGGATTGGACAGGCTAAAGTGTTTTTGTATAAACGGACTTATGTGAACTCGGAAGGAAGTGTCCAGGCTTCTTCTTATTATAGTGTTTACTATATGCTGCAAGGATGTTCAATTACTTTGCTGACTCAGAGTTTGTTCCAACTGTTCTTTAATCTCTACTTGGAACCGTGTTCTACTAAAAACCAGATCAATGCGGCCGTTTCAGCTGGAATTACCTTTCTGAGCTGGCACTTTCTGTGGTTGGAGAAGGGATACATGAAGAACAAACAAACAGTTTATATATTGAATGCACTGAATTTATGCCGGTTTATCTTTATCTTCTTGATCTCAGGAGAAAGAAGGTACTTCTTAAATTTGGTTCATCGTGGAAAAACACCATTAGAGAAGTTACAAGGCATCTTTTTCCCTTGGAAAGAAGACAAGAAC